GTTTACATGGCTCACTGACTAGAAACTAGAAATCAGGCTTTACACAATGTAAATAGCTATTATTACATGTAAAAAAGGAAACGTTGTAAAAGGTAAAAACGTAAAGCTAACCCTGTAAACAGGCTGTGAAGGCCCATAGGGTTGCAAGATTTCGAGGCTCCTACATTTTCTCTATACAGTCAGCTCATAGATGGCAGTAAGGTTGTCAGCCTTATGGGCCAGCCACCCTTTACACCCCAGGAAGATACCTGGTATTCATTTCTGTTGAGGTTGAGTCAACCCCAGGTCCATAGTGTGGCTGGAAGGATTAGGTAAATTAGAAAAACCCACCTCATCAGGACTTGAACCCATGACCTTCCAGCCTGTAGTACAGTGCCTCAACCAACTACGTTACCATGTGCCCCAGTATAAATTTTATATAAAAATAAACAAGACATTTAGTCACAGTAATTATGATTTTCAAAATGGTGCATCAAAGGTCAATGTCTCAGGTTTTGCAAAGACATGAAATAGAAACAAAAATCAAAGTTCAAGTGCAATAAGTTCACACACTTCTTGGTCTGTACCTTTCAGAGCAAAACCATCATTAACCCATTGCCGTGGTTTGACGTGTATGTTTCGTCAGGTATTTAAATCGTCTGGGGGGGTTCGACGTGTATGTTTCGTCCAGCTGCACACCTATGTTATAACGCCCATAATAATTGATGGTTTTGCTGTAGATTGTTAGATTTTTCGCTGGCCTGTTGTCAGTAGTACAGAGTATAATATGACANCCCTTGCACCGCGACCTACAGTGGTCTATTGTGCTTTCACAGGATACTAGTGAACAAATCATCACTTCTGGTATTTATAATTGGATTATGCAATCAGCTCTTACATTTCTGAGCTCCATTGAAAAGTGCTCTGTCCTTAGGAGTGTCACCAACTTCAATGATCTTAGCTCCGGCAAGCAGTTGCATGATGAGACCTGACGTAACAATTGGTGAAATACCCAACTCCATCAAGGTGCCTCTGTTGGATGCTAAGATTACACGGATCCAATAGAAAGGATCAGCTGAGTCTGAACTCATGATACCAAACAACGGAATCTATAAAAAATCACATAAGGTACCATTTACACATTTTACCACTATCTTCAGAAAAATCCTGAAAGAAAGTGATCCAATAACCTGCAATTTTCAAACACAATGTCAAATATAACGCAACCAAAAAAAAACTCAATATATCAGACAGCACTGCATAGTAATTTTTATGCATCCTCTTTTTCTTTGTGTTCATCACCTACATTCAATATACATACAGGAAGTAACAAATAGTGGAAACAGTAATAATGTGAGGAATTGNGCCTTCCTTCTACTAAACCAACTGCCTCCATTACCGAGATACAGGGCGCTCATATTATAAGGTAAGGTTATAAAACCACCTTTTAAGATCATTTTAGTGAAAGTTTCATGTTCCTATCTCATAGAATTTAAGAACAATGATGAATAAATAATTTTCGAGCAAAATTTAAATGGCCGGCTGAATATATTACCGCAGGAGCCGCGGCCGCGGAATTTAAATGACCACGTCAAAGGGTTAATCAGCCACCACAACTCTATTACCCTAAAATATTTCTCTACTCTTAGCCAAAACTTACTGAAACGTGTATTTATAAAACCAGATTTCATGAACACTGGAAATGAATATCCCGTCTTTGCCAGAAGAAAAATACAATTCAGATCACAGGATGAATGAATGTATGAGGGGTAGGCCTCCTCAGCCCTTGCACCGCGACCTACAGTGGTCTATTGTGCTTTCACAGGATACTAGTGAACAAATCATCACTTCCGGTATTTATAATTGGATTATGCAATCAGCTCTTACATTTCTGAGCTCCATTGAAAAGTGCTCTGTCCTTAGGAGTGTCACCAACTTCAATGATCTTAGCTCCGGCAAGCAGTTGCATGATGAGACCTGACGTAACAATTGGTGAAATACCCAACTCCATCAAGGTGCCTCTGTTGGATGCTAAGATTACACGGATCCAATAGAAAGGATCAGCTGAGTCTGAACTCATGATACCAAACAACGGAATCTATAAAAAATCACATAAGGTACCATTTACACATTTTACCACTATCTTCAGAAAAATCCTGAAAGAAAGTGATCCAATAACCTGCAATTTTCAAACACAATGTCAAATATAACACAACCAAAAAACTCAATATATCAGACAGCACTGCATAGTAATTTTTATGCATCCTCTTTTTCTTTGTGTTCTTTACCTACATTCAATATACATATAGGAAGTAACAAATAGTGAAAACACTAACAATGTGAGGACTAGGATTTGTCTGTATCAGTTACACTGAAAGAACTTCAGCTGCCAACACTGTCAATGCATTAGTGATTGTGTTGAATGATAGTCCGTGTGAAACAATCCAAAAATGGGAGATCTGTCCGATTTTGAAAGAGGACAGATCGTTGGTGTGCCTTTAGCTGCAGCACCTATTAAAAAACTGCCACATTATTAGGTGTATTGAGAGTGACAGTTTCTACGGTTATGTTGGCAAACACAAATCATGGGAAGACAACATCAGTGAAGAGGTAATGTGGGTGAAAATCAACACTGACAGAAAGAGATTGTTGTACATTGGAAGGATTTTTTCAAAAAATTGCACAACTCAATATTCATCTTGAAGACCCTATTTCCACAAAAACTGTCTAACACAAGCTTCACAAATGTAACATCCAAAGTAGGGCTGCAACTGCGAAACCTCTGATTAATGAAAGTAGTACACAGATATGTAAATGGTCTCATGACAATAAAATCTGGTCATCACACAACTGGAACCATGCGTGTGATATAGTCAGATGAGTTCTCCTTCACACTGTGCCCTACGTCAGGAATAGTTTGTATCTGGAAAACACCCAATAAAGTCTACAATCCGGAATGCCTGGTCCCAACAGTGAAACATGGGAGAGGTTCTATGATGGTTTGGACAGCAATATCACGGAACAGTATTCTGCTGGTCCCATTGTTACACTTCATGGCTGAATTACTGTCAGGGAGTATGTGAACAGGTCGGGTAATCAGGTGCATCCCATGATCCAGACATTTATTTCTAAATAATGCCGTTTTCCAAGACTACAATGCCCCCATTCAAACAGCTGAAACTGTTCAATCATGGTTTTATGAGCATAAAGGTGAACTTCAACATCTTCCCTGGCCAGCATAATCACCAGATGTTAACATCACTGAACCACTTTGGTCAGTTCTGAGGAACAGATCCCCACCTACAACATCTGTAAAACAACTTGAAGATGTTCTTCAAGAAGATTGGCATAAAACTTTGCTAGAGACTGTTCAAAACTTATGAGAGTCCATTCCAACAAAGACTGTAGCTGTATTTAAGGCAAAAGGTGGTCCAACATCATANCATTTATTTCCAAATAATGCCGTTTTCCAAGACTACAATGCCCCCATTCAAATAGCTGAAACTGTTCAATCATGGTTTTATGAGCATAAAGGTGAACTTCAACATCTTCCCTGGCCAGCATAATCACCAGATGTTAACATCACTGAACCACTTTGGTCAGTTCTGAGGAACAGATCCCCACCTACAACATCTGTAAAACAACTTGAAGATGTTCTTCAAGAAGATTGGCATAAAACTTTGCTAGAGACTGTTCAAAACTTATGAGAGTCCATTCCAACAAAGACTGTAGCTGTATTTAAGGCAAAAGGTGGTCCAACATCATACTAATAAACAAATGTGTACAGTATCTGTAGTGTTTCCATTATTTTGTCCAACCCCTGTACATTCTGCAGTTATAATGCAGGGCCAACTTAAGTAATAAATAATGGTTTCATGATTCCCTGCAATTAAATTCATAGCTCTGGACAATGAATGTGCTTGACTAGAGCCCTCCATTGGAAGATAATATCCACTTTGATGTCAACAAATGTGATGCATCTTAGAGAACCTGAGGGCTCGGTGCCGTGTTCACAACAGCCTATCTCGAGTCAGCTGCAACCACCTTCACATCCCTTAAGATTCATTTTAACAAGGAATCATCCCATGTGACATGTTTAACAAACATGATCATCCAACCAACTTAGGAAATTTCTTCCATATGGATTCCCCCNAAAACCCCTGTACATTCTGCAGTTATAATGTGGGGCCAACTTAAGTAATAAATAATGGTTTCATGATTCCCTGCAATTAAATTCATAGCTCTGGACAATGAATGTGCTTGACTAGAGCCCTCCATTGGAAGATAATATCCACTTTGATGTCAACAAATGTGATGCATCTTAGAGAACCTGAGGGCTCGGTGCCGTGTTCACAACAGCCTATCTCGAGTCAGCTGCAACCACCTTCACATCCCTTAAGATTCATTTTAACAAGGAATCATCCCATGTGACATGTTTAACAAACATGATCATCCAACCAACTTAGGAAATTTCTTCCATATGGATTCCCCCTATCAGCAAGGAGGCTGGGAACTTATAGAGAATGTTGGTAATATCTGATAGACTCCTCATATATCTATGTATCTATATCATGTATCTATATGATTTTAGCTCTAGGGTTCAGTTTTTGTTCTAGAGACAACGCTAGAGGTAGATGGATATTATAAAACTTGAAAACTGAGCCTTATTCCATATTGGCATTTCTGCATTTGGCTGTTGGTTTGGTAGTTTCAAGTACATACAACCACATCCAAAATCTTTATCATAAATTTTCGTGTTATATCCTGTTGGCAAAACTCAAATTGAGGTGCTCTTATGGATGCAGTTACACTAACACACGTTGTCCAATGACTGAGGTTGGCACTTTCTAACAGACCCAACAGAGTGGGTGCCTTCCATCATTTCACCTGAGGATGGAAACAAGTCCAGTTTCTGCAACACTGTGTTCTATTGAATGAATGACAAAGTGCAATGACTCTGTAATCCCGGCCATCTTAATACTGTTCTCCCATGTATGCCAACATCTCCAAATGAACATAACTGTAAGGGGGGGGGGAGAAGAAGAAAAACAATATTCTTTTAACCACAGAGTCCCATTCTTATCTTACACTATATATTTTATTAAGAAAATAGAGAACACCCCCGCTGAAATCAATGGTAAACTGAATATATTAGTACTGGGATCTATTTGTTGGTCATCTGATTCCAGAGAAAGCCATTATAAATATAAATACAATTTAGGATGAAATTTGCTAAAATCTTCTCAGGCACTCGGCTGTATCAATGTTGAACTAAAAAACCAATGTTTCAGAGACACCATCAGTCTCCATCATCAGGGTCAAAGTTAGTTATATAAAAAGGACAATGTGATTCATGCATATTTAAGATATACATCATTGCTATTCAAACAACTCATGGGCACTGCATTAACTACAGAAACATCAGGAAAGAGCATATCTATACCTCATCCTACACAATGTATTATAAAGTAATTTTATGCTCACGAAGTAATGTCAATATTCATGTAATGACAATGCTCAATAATTCATTGCTATGGTGACTCAAAACTGAGTAACTTCAGACTTTATATATAAAGTCCACATGTGTAAACCTCTTGTGTAACAAAACAAGCCAGCCAAATTCACTACCACCCTGAGCATAACATGATCTCTCACAGGTAACTTTCACTTTAGGCTAATTAGAAATGGATCCAGAACAATGCTGTGCCAATTAAAGTAGGACACTAGCAATTCACACAAACTTTCATCATTCCACATTCAATTACTGACAGCAATGTTTCAAGTTCAATACTAAAAGTTTCAGAGAAAGGGATTGTTTGCTTGGTCATAAACCTACTCCTTATCAGAGTACACAAATCTTACAGGCAAATTAGTGTCCAACAAAATTGCATTTTCATTTATTCATACATCATTAATTAATTGCTGTAAGGAATGTGGAGGTCTGTGTAACAATGTGATCTACCTTCCTCCAATACAATCAACGTATTACAATCATATAAACATTCCAACGAAAGTTCAAATTCCTTACCAACTTTTATGGAAATGCAAAATTATTTATCAACATGGTTTTACCTATGTCACAACTACCTGAAGATCTGTTTAAGAGACTGGACTATGGTGTGAAAAAATGTATACTGCTTCTTGAAAGTGATCTACATAGCTTTGTAGTGGAAGCATGTGTGTCATTTTACTTACACAAGTAGTTCTTTATGCAAGAAAACACAAACTTTTGGTTTGAAAACCTGAATGGAGACCCCTTACAAAACTTAAAATACAGATGGAGAACCTTAAAAACTATGGTGTGCGTGCAGGCTGGATTCAATTGGCTTAGGACTGCATCCAGTACATCCTCTTGTTAACACAGCAATGAATTTTTAGCTTCCATGAAAGGCAGCGCATTTTCTGACCAACCAAAAGACCATAAGCTTCTCAAGGACCCTGC